CATCTCAACCTACCTTTCGACTTTTCCCTCCTTTTTCCATTTGTCAAATGTCCTGTAATTAGGATTCGATTCTCGGCGAGTAATGAAAAAATTCAAAATTAATATTTGATGGGAACTTGTTTTTTATTTTTATGTAAGGATTTGGTTGAAATGGAAAAGTTAGTGTCACGAGCAGGATTCGAACCCACGTCCTTCGGCTAAATACGCAGCTGCTGTACCATTCGAGCTATCATACGATCGACCCATACCGACCTAAATGTCCCTCTTGTCACCGGGCTAGCCCAATCCCGCTAACAAACGTTCCATTCCAAACTACCCCATCATCCGAACCCTTTTGTCAAAAACCTGTGACTGAACCTTAACACTTGACATCGGTCTCCTAGTTCGGAGTCCATCTCGCTCATCGTATTGATGTACTAACGACTACCATCACTGGATGATAGCTGTTCAAGCTTCCATGCTACTTGTATTATTGTTTATATGTAAATATTAAATGTTTTACTTGTTGCGTCGAAGAAAGCAGTTTAAAAATAAATAAATAAAAGTGCCGATGTTCCGAAGGATCTAGGACGCAAGACGATACAGGGTAGAGTATTTGGTCTCAAAATCAAGTACACAGAGACCATGGACTCGTAGACCAGTGACTCTCAAGTCCATGCGATTGAGAAATGTCCTATTTCAACCTAAATTAAAATCTAATGGGATTTTAAATAAGTTAATTTTTTGGAATTGATCTCAGGTCTGCGACTCTAGTCTATTTCGACTAGATAATATAATCGACCCGTATAATCGAAGTTTTCGGCTAACTTCTAACACATTGAATGGTACTTATTTATCGTAAGTCCGTCCGTTGGAAAGTCGGAATGTACCGCGAACGAACAGTAGGGGATCGGAGGCGTGTTTCAAGTGGGAACTTGTCGGATGCGGAAGGGTTAAATTAAATCTCTCCTCCGTGATTGAGACTTCAGCTGGAGTCGGCCGTTAACCGATCGTGCTAACCGAGGGCACGTTTTCAATAAGCGAGTAATTAAATCCTTTTAAAAATTCCCAGCAAGCGTCTGCCACATTGAGTTTCGACATTCCTGCTGTGAATAGTGTGTATCGAGGTATTTTCCTTTTGATGTTGCGCTGCGCGGAAATTAACAAGAATATATTTCGAAGGCTGAAAAAACCTTTAGTTTCTGACTATAGGCAGTCACATCATTTTTATGATAAATGACTGACCTTTGAGCCTATTATGTTTGATTGGAATTTTTCTTTTCCGTAAATATACCAGCATCCCTTTTATTCAGAAAAATGAATTGATGTGAATTATACTCTATATCGAATTAAATAGCATAAGCTGTTATCACTAGTAACATTTGGTAGGATGTTTTGAAACATTATTTATTTTTTTCATTGCATTCGCAACAATTTCTGGGAAAACTAGAAAAATGTTTAAAGTTGAAAAGTGTAGTACCTACTAAATAAATCCATTATATTTAGTGGTATAATGACAAAATTACTTCTTTCAATTACTTAATATTTTTATGTAAGTAAGTAATTTTTTTGTTTTGGTTGAAATGAAAAAGTTAGTGACACGAGCGGGATTCGAACCCACGTCCTTTGACTAAATACGCCGCTGCTCTAACCACTTAAGTTATCGTGACTTCGATCCACTCGGACACCAATCCCCACCTCAACCTACAACCTTTCGAATTTTCCCTCTTTTTGCCATTTTTCATGCCATTATAGAGGAGTTGGTGTGCCAGTGGATCGAAGGTCATTGGTTCGAATCCCGGTTGTGACACGAACTTTTTCATTTCCAAAACTAATGAGAAAACGACCTGACAAACTTTTGAAAATCACTAAAAACGAATAATTAAGCAAAAAATGAGAAATTGCTGCAAACTGATTTAAACGAAATGTTAAAATACATCAGTCCGTTTGGATAAAATGGTGAAAATAAATTTAAAATATAATAAACTGGACACAATGCAATTTTTTTTTAAATGGCTTTATGTTCTAGCATATTAGCCAATGACAATGTTATGCGTATTCGTTTTGTGGGGGAAGGGTAACGTGAAAAAAAGGCCACAGGCGACGGCGGGAATTGAACCCACGACCGCGGGGCCTACGAGCCGAGAGTCTCTCACGCTAACCACTCGGCTACCGCGGTTTTTTTTTTACTATTTCAAACCAGTTTAAAAAAACTGTAACAAAAACGTAAAACTACTCGAAACAGGTAAGATAAGACTTATAAAAAGGGATACCAACTACTTGAAACCAGTTTGAAAAGACTATAACAAAGCACTAGAAACAATTGAAACAAGTTTGAAAAGCTTATAACAATTCGCTAGAAAATACTTGAAACAAATTTGGAATAATATAACAAAGGCTTAAAATGACTTGAAACGGGTTGAATCAGACTATAAAAAGTGACACCAACTATGTACTTGAAACCAGTTAGAAAAGACTATAACAAGCACAAGAAAAAATTGAAATAAGTTTGGAAAGTCTATTAAAGAAATAGAAACTACTTGATACCAGTTTGAAAAGACTAATAAAAACTAAATGTCATAAGTTTGAGAAACAATTACAAGGACTTAAAACAAGCTCGATAAGACTATAGAAAGGACTACAAACTACTTGGAATCAGTTTGAAAAGACTGTAACAAAGTTCTAGAAAATGCTTGAACCAAGTTTGAAAAGACTATTAAAAAATAAAAACTACTTGAAACGAGTGTGGAAAAATATTTAAAAAATAGAAACTACTTGAAACAAATATTGAAATACTATTAAAAAATAGAAACTACTTGAATCAAATATTGAAATACTATTAGAAAAATATAGAAACTACTTGAAACAAATATTGAAATATTATTAGAAAAAATAGAAACTACTTGATACCAGTTTGAAAAGACTGTGTAGCAATGCGCTAGAAAATACTTGAAACAAATTTGGAAAGACTGTTAAAAAATAGAAACTAAATGTAATAAGTTTGAGAAACTATTACAAGGACTTGAAACAAGCTTGATAAGACTACAGAAAGGGCAACAAACTACTTGAAATCACTTTGAAAAGACTGTAACAAAGCTCTAGAAAATGCTTGAAACAAGTTTGAAAAGACTATTAAAAAATAAATACTACTTGAACCGAGTGTGGAAAAATATTTAAAAAATAGAAACGACTTGAAACAAATATTGAAAACTATTAAAAAATAGAAACTACTTGAAACAAATATTGAAATATTATTAGAAAAAATAGAAACTACTTGAAACTCATATTGAAATATTATTAGAAAAAGTAGAAACTACTTGAATCAAATCTTCAACTACTATTAAAAAAATAGAAACTACTTGAAACAAATATTGAAATATTATTAGAAAAAATAGAAACTACTTGAAACAAATCTTCAAATACTATTAAAAAATAGAAACAACTTGAAACAATATTGAAATATTATTAGAAAAAAATAGAATCTACTTGAAACAAATATTGAAATATTATTAGAAAAAATAGAAACTACTTGAAACAAGGTGGAATAAATATTTTACCATCAAAGTCAATGACTATAACCAAAAACGCTTTGATCATAAAGACAATTAGAAGCTACTTACCTAATAGATACGAACTAAACTCAGCCTTGTAACTTGAGACAACTAAAACAAAGACCTTGTGAAATGTTGTTAATTTGGCTGGAGGTTATTATTTCGTAACTATTGATGGGCATTAATATATAGAATAAGTGCAGAAAACGGTTGTACATTACATTTATTCTGCTGCATTCAGCATTCGGTACATATCGAGAGATCGCGAGTTGGAAAAACTGGATTTAACTTTATCTCATTGGTAAGAAATCTCAGTCAAAATTCATTAATTTTTACATTAAGAAATGTTTCTAAAACAGTCTTTAACAGATGCTGCAATCTATCTAATTTTCGACCCTTTGATTTTCAACCTCTCTCCTCCAAACGCCTCGGACGAAGGCCCAATAAAAAATCATAGATTAGATCGAGATAAAAGCCTTGAGATAAAGGTTCGGCCCGTCACTAAAGCCATTACACCTTCTAAACTTAACAGTCAGATAATTGCACCGGCCCGGTTATTACGGCTATAATACAACGTGAATCTTTCATACAGGTGCATGGGGAACGTTGAAAAAAATCAATTTCTGACTGCATCGTTTAAAAGGTCAAAACTATAAAATACTGCCTTGTTGAGAAGAGATTTTGATGTGAGTTTGAGAATGGGAAAAGGATAAAAATCGAATGAGGGCCGACCGTTCTCTCTTGATAATGTGCTTGTTGATAAAATATCTGGGGGTCTCAGATTATCAGCTTTTAGAGACTGGGACACTCCATATCCGCCGTTGGACCGACAGAATATTTAAGATGTCGGTTTCTGAGTAAACGCTAAATTTAAAACAGACAACTTAAAATTTAAGAACAAATGAATACTGAGTAGTTTTGGTTCCTCTTACAAAAGTATCTTGTTATTCTTTAATTGACTTCAATATAAGTGAGGCATTGAAGACTTGTCATTTTGTAGCTTGTGTAAAAATGTGATTGAAGCTCATATTTATTAGCTTTCATGTAATGTGCTTCAAGCCACGAACATTATTTTATTTGTGAATTTTGAGTCGTAAAATTTGTCTATTGTCAGATTTCTTATGGAGGTCTGCTGGGCAATGAAGATTTCTTACTGTCTAACTTCGCTGGTTTGGTCAGCTAGGCATGGTTTTGTTTAAGTGATTGTCTGTACAGCATGATCAGAGACGATGTGGTTTTTAAAAATTATTTATTTATTTAGGAAGCCAAAATTCTGCTCTCTTCCATACTTAAAGCAAACACAGAAAGCACCTCAAATGCGCGACCTTTAAGCAAAAACAAAAACGAAAATGACAAAAACGCTACTGACATATCAAACCAATGATCTAAAGATCTTAATATAAGTTTCGAATAAGTTTAATGATAAAGTTTTGTAATAGACTTCATTTAATTTTCTTTTTTTTTGTGCAGAAATGTCTGCCGGAATTCGAAAACGCCGCCTTCAACAGGGAAGTCGAAGCATCGAACACGTGCGGAGAGGACGGCGAAACTCGATACTGCGCTCAAATAGGCACAACACAGACGCAATTCTGCTCCGTATGTCGACCGGGAGATCATCCTCCGTCATACTTGACCGACGTCGACAAGATAGGCAACCTCACCTGGTGGCAGTCGGGCACCATGAGCGACGGCATCCAGTACCCCAACATGGTCAACATTACCATTCATTTCGGTAAGTGGGAGTCAATCAAACATAAAGTGCATGTTTAAGAAAGAAAATTTATACTACGGCAATGTTGTACCTTTCGATCATTTTGGTCTGCCTTCTTCCCAAGTTTTGATTTGTGCTCCGTTTGACATTCCAAATTGAACCTAAACGACGCTCTTAGCATCATCACCCCGCAGTACTCGATAAGTAATCTTACAAAAATGACTCTTTGTTAATGTTTAACATTGGATTTTTTATGAGAAGACATTTTTCTAATGTTATCCACTATTGTGGAAATATTCCATTAATATTCTCATAGTTGAACCCCACTATCTTTCCAATCACAGACCCAATAGCCTTCTTCCAATGATTTTCAAAATCCTCAAAATACAACTCTTAAAATGCCTAACTTTTTTCTTAGTCTTATATAAAATCATTTCTAATAACCTGTTTGTCTTCTGTCATTCCACAATTCAGCAATGTTTTAGAGATGTTTATGCCTCACCGTCAATGTTCAAGAACGGTAAAAACCTCGCATAGTGCTTGAGTGCACTGGCATGAGGAAATTCTCAACAGATTAAAATAGTTTCTATCCAAATTTTATTATCTAACCCATAAATCCTACCCAACCACTGCATCAGAATGAGCTGGGTCAAGGATTTCTCGGAATAGAGATGGATCCAAGCCAGTGTGCCCCATCCTGAACACTATACTGCTGACCAGCCAATGCATCCCCAAAACCACCCTACCAACGAACCTATACGGACGATACCACAATATTATGTATGTATTAGGACCGAAATATGGTTTGGCTCTTTTTTCTACTTCAAGGCACTATTGCGACCACTTTTGTCATGTGGTGTTCAGCCAAACCTTCCAATATCCAGTGCTCCAATCCTTCTATTCAAAGATTTTCAGACAAATCTCATGACTACGTCTTTAACTGCACTATCCACAACGGCCTCAACAGTTTTGTTAACAAACTCCGTTCCCGTTATTGAAACCTCTCGATCCATCCTAACCTTACTCGAGGACAAATCGTCTACGTCTACAGCAAGGAACTATTGACATCTACGCAAGGTAAATACTTAGGACTATATTTAGACACAAGACTGACGTGGAATCTCCGCACAAGTACCCTACAAGTATTTGGACAACTACGAAGACTTCTAGGACCGAAATTAGGCATGTCCGAACTAACTAACAATATACAAAAATCCTTTTAACCTATTTTTGACATACGATGCAGAACTGTGGGGTACTACCAAAGTAGAATTCTCCAAGCTCCTTACTACATTTCTAACCTTTCTTTCCAATGGCCTTAACATTACCTTCGTTCAAGATTTGATCCGGTACCGTTTCCTAAATTTCCAATCCAGTCCATTTAACCCATCATATTGCTCAAACCGTTTCTAGTACCTTCATCCAAAAAACTGCCCACGTCGCCTCAATCAACAACCACCTTGCTCCTTAATCGAGTACCAGCGTTATTGGCCTCTCTTAAATCTTGCCCGTAGGTGATGGTAATAAGAACAAATTTGTCATGTATAAGTCATTGATTTGAGATGAACTGTGGTGATCACGAAACCATCTCGGCGCTTGAGCACATTCTCCGAGCAACTGACATCAGCAGCTCAACATTACTGATTCCTGAAGTTACACTTATCCTAATCCTTCCGCTCAAGATCTACTACTTCCAATCCCGAAAATCCTCTAAGCCCGGAGATGAAAGATCTCTTTAAATCCTTAGTATCGGGAGTGTCAGCCTAGGCTGGTTTCTCAAAACTGTATCCTCCGGGAGCAGTGCTGACCTTGTGTGAAAGGGTGAAAATAATCCAATTAACATCAAATGTGGATCAACATTTTAGTGAATTGTTTGTTGGAAGGATTTTAGCAACCGAAAATTATTTTATCGTATGGTAAATTTTATAACTCTTCATCATAAAGCTTCACTGGTTAAAGGTTCGAAAAATTAATATGTACTTCGTTATTTAGAACTGTAACTTAGTTCTGTTTTTTAACGGTTTTGTAAAACTATTTTTGTAGCTATTTTTGTATCATAGAAAAAGTTTAATAAGGTCACTATTTATTTAAAACAATGGCTTTTTAAGTTGTCTCTAGATTCGACCTATAAGGGGAACAGGTGAAGTGGGCGTCTGCCCATATCGCATTCAGGAGGACTTCGTGACCAACACAAATTACAATTAAATACAACGGTCACGTTATGTTCTTACAACCCTAGTTTACACATTATAACGGTGTTAGCATAGAAGTACAACTGTTCAACTACCAATTAGGACATAAATGAATTCAGTATATAACGTTCTCTTGGCCGTCTGACGAAAGAGGTATCTCAAATGAGGCAACTGTGTACCGTATTGGGCCTGGGGGGGGGAGTTTTATAGGAGTTTCGACAATGCTACAATCACGTTAGCATTTAAGATTTTAAAATTATTTAACAAAAAGTTGATGACAAGGGTAAAATCCTCTGGTTGAATACAACTGTAGAAATATTGGCATTGCTAAATTATCCATAATTCACTAGTTTTCGTGGTCCGCTTGACCAATTAATATCTTTCAATTAATTAAGGTTTTTCGTTGAGATAAAAAAGTCAGTGTCACGAGCGGGATTCGAACCCACGACCTTCGGCTAGATACGCCGCTACTCTACCACTTGAGCTATCGTGACATCGATCCACTCGGACACAAACTTCTTTTCTCAACTCACCTTTGAATTTTCCTTCCTTTTTGCCATTTTTCAAATGTCGTGTAATCTATTTGATTCTCGGCGACAAATGAAATGGCCACGGAGAGCTTGAGTGAAGATAAACTTCATTGAACTTATTAAATTAACTAGTTTTCGTGATCCGCTTGACCAATTAATATCTTTCAATTAATTAAGGTTTTTAGTTGAGATAAAAAAGTCAGTGTCATGAGCGGGATTCGAACCCACGACCTTCGGCTTGATACGCCGCTACTCTACCACTTGAGTTATCGTGACCTCGATCCACTCGGGCACTAACTTCCCATCTCAACCCCACCTTTGAATTTTCCCTCCTTTTTGCCATATTATTATCCATAATATCGATTAATTTGTACTAACGAAATATCTCTCTTTCTCCCTCTCTCTTTCTTCATCTCTCTCTCCCACTCTCTATCTCTCTATTTTTCCCTCTTTCTTTCATCATCCCTCTCTCCCAATCTCTATCTCTCTATTTTTCTCCCTCTCTCTTTCTTCAACTCTCTCCATCTCTCTCTCTCTCTCTCTCTCTATCTATCTATCTATCTATCTACCTATCTATCTATCTATCTATCTATCTATCTATCTATCTACCTATCTATCTATCTATCTATCTATCTATCTATCTATCTATCTATCTCTCTATCTATCTATCTATCTATCTATCTATCTATCTATCTATCTATCTATCTCTCTATCTATCTATCTATCTATCTATCTATCTATGTATCTCAGCTTTAAGAATGAGAATGAAAATAGAGAAATCATTTAGTCATTATCAAGGAGAACTTTATGTAATTTAAGTTACATATTTAATTAGTAATATTTAATTATACTTAAAATGATAAGTTTTATCTATTGATATAACATGAAAAAAATCTTGAAAATACATCGAACAAATTATAGTGACGAATGTGTATATAAAAAAAACGTTATTTTATTTTTTGAACAAATTAATCTACTGTATCAGGTAAAAGAGATTCAGATAAATCCGTCGATTGCTGAAGTTGCTCAATATTTTTACGGTCCATTCGATAAATCCTGCAACAGGTCCTGGGCCACGGAATGCCTGGATCGGCATTATCACCCTTTCAATTATTCCGACTCTGAGACCTTTCCACGGCCGATTTCCTCGTCTCCTTCGGATCCTTCGTACGGCTAACAGATTTCTTGCACTCGGATAATTTCTCATGAAGAGGATAAAATCCGGCACCGCATGGAGTCCTACCTGGTCCTTAGTCGGGTGGTAAAGTTTCGTCTAGGTTTATAAAGCCTTTTATAAAAAAAAAAAAAATAATGCCCAATGTAATTAATCTTTAAAGAAAACCCAAAAATAGAATCGATAATTTTAGAGTTACGTTAAACCAGTAAGTTTGTTTATATTGGCAGAAGTTTAATCGCGTAATAGTTTGTTGACTTTGGTTTTAGTTTAGATGTAGAGAGAAGAATAGAATAGATAAATAGAAAATACATAGATATGTACAGAGTCAAAGAGATGACAAATTATAAAAAACAGCTAGCTAAAGTTATATGGAAAGGGATAGAAAATAGATAGATGGATAGACAAGTGGGGAGAGAGAGAGAGAGAGAGAGAGAGAGAGAGAGAGAGAGAGAGAGCGATATTAACGATTTATTTATTAAAATACACGCAAAAGTTAGGACTTCCGAAGAGAGAGACGAACAGAAAGATGGAGAGATGGAAAAAGATGAAGAGAGAGAGAGAGCGGATGGGAGGAAGGGAGAGAGATGATGAAAGAGAGAGGGAGAAAAAGAGAGAGTGTGGGAGCGAGAGTTGAGATGAAAATGCGAAGAATCTACAAGTTGAAAAATGTAGATAGGTGATTAGATAAAAAAGATGATATATAAAGAAACAAAGAAAAGTAAGATAGTTCAAAGAGTTAATCAAAAACAAGTTGTATAGAAAGATAGATAGATAGAAAGATAGATAGATAGATAGATAGATAGATAGATAGGTAGATAGATAGAAAGATAGATAGATAGATAGATAGATAGATAGATAGATAGATAGATAGATAGATAGATAGATAGATAGATAGATAGATAGATAGATAGATAGAAAGATAGATAGATAGATAGAGAGAGAGGGAGATGAAGAAAGAGATAGAGAGAGATAGAGTGTGGGAGAGAGAGTTGAGATGAAAATGCGAAGAATCGACAATAAATACAGATAGGTGATAATATAAAAAAAGGATATATATAATGAAACAGAGAAAAGTAAGATAGTTCAAACAGTTAGACAAAAACAAGTTGTACAGAAAGATAG